AAAAAAAAAATAAAAATACTCAATTTCTTTGTGTTTTCCTTGCTTTTCTAGGTTTTTTGCATCAAGCATGGTATTTACTTAAATTAGAGACAAAAAGCTTATAAGACCTGCTGACTGCTCACCAAATAGATATTGTGTGGCATGTGGCCACAGATTTCCCCTCCACTCTAGGACTTGGCACAGGCCACTCACAAGGGGACCCTTTGAAGCGGATGGGTGCATGTCTCTGCCAACAACCAAGGAGGGGCAGCCAGCCAGCCACCCCCGATTGGCTCTACGACTGTTTGACTGCCCCTCCACTGTGAGGTCACTGTTTCCCAAAGGGACTTCCCTAGCCCTCCTGACCCCCACCACTCCTTCACACCCAGAGACATCCCTTGAGGGAAATGCTTGTTTCCTTCTAGAATTTCTGGGAGGTGGAGGGATGAAGGAACAGAGAGGTGTGTGGTGGCCGCCATATTTGTTTTCCATCTCCAATGGAGCAACGGACATTGGACCAACGCTACAGCCGCTCTGTGGAGGGAAAAGGCGGCCTGACCTTGTCCACAGCCTGACAGGAGGCCCTGGTCCTGCAGAACACCCATGTTTCGAACTTTGTCTTTCAGAATCACCCAAACCCAGCTGCCCTATTTCTTCACTTCTTCCAAATGGTCCTCACCTAAGATCCCTCACCTCTTGCCTGTTCCATCCCATCCTGGACCAACCACTGAGGTGTCTCTCTGGTTTCCAACCTGAACCTGCTTTTGCCACTCCTCTCTGAATTCAGTGTACACCCAGAATCAATCAATCTTTCTCTCTTTCCTTCTTCTTTTCCTCTCTTCCTCACATCCAACCATTTATTCATCCATTTATTTGTCCATCTACCCATCCATCCATCTCTCCTTTCTTCCCTCTATTTTTCATCCCACTCTACTCCCTTGCTTCATTCTTCTTCCCTCAGAGGATTTTTCATAATATTTATTTATTTATTTATTTATTTATTTATTTATTTATGTTTTGCGGTACTAAGGATTGAATTTAGGACCCTGTGCTTGCCAGGCAAGTACTTATTCTACTGAGCTGTCTCCCCGGCCCTGTCATAATATTTAAACATTTATTTTACTACCTGTCTCTCCCAATGGACCATGAGCCCCACATCGAAGGCCATTTGGCTCCGGGCGTGGCCCCAGCATCTAGCACACAGTAGGTGTTCACTTAGTAGCTGAGGCCTCCTGAAGCGCAAGAGTCCATGCTTCCTCCCTGTGTTAACTTCTTAGCGCTTGCTGCTGACAAAGGGGGGCTGGAATATGGAGGAGAGAACTTCATCTTATCAGCAAGCACTGATGTCACAGAAAATGAAATTAAAGGAGAGAGAGCCTATGCGCCACCACGTTAAAAGTAGCAATTAGCTGCTGGAGTAGGGCGGGCCACTCCAAGGAGGAGATCAAACCACCAGAGAAAACTGGGCATATCCCAGTGAAACCATCTCTCCCTAATTAAGCAGTTTGATAATTCCAGGTTTCTTCAGCATGTTATTTGGGACGACCATCAAATGGAACGTGTGGTTTCTCAGGGGTGTCAGAGAACAAGGGAAGCGGCGGGAGGACGGGGCGTCTGGCCTCTCTGTCACCCGTGAAGAAGGAACACCAGTAATTGCTGCAGACTCGCGGGGCACGGCTGGTTCTCGGCTCAGATGCTGATAAAAGGGGGCGGCAACAGGCGGCTTCTCTTCTGACTTCCTCCCTGCCAGGGTGGGGGCGGGATGGAGCGCGAAACGGGAAGCCGCAGAGGCGGATTCCGGAAGGCGGGTGGTAAACAAAGGAAAGCGGGATGCCGAGGGGCAGAAGAAGTAAACAGATAAAAGAAGAACTTTTGGAGACTAATACACCTACTGGAGAAAGAGGACTTGAGCAAAATGGTGGGGGTGGGGAGGAAGTGAGGAGAGACACAA